TAGAAATAAATAATAGTATATATATATATATATATATATATATATATATATGGGAAATGATCTAATGCAACGGTTGTATAGTAGTATAATGCAACCATACCTCAAGAAAATCATATTTTTGGCATTTATAAGACCCCGAATTTTGAACACACATTCTCTTCATCCTCATAATCAATCCTACGAAAAAAAATTTTAATTTGCACCCTAGATATGGTCAAAATTAGTATCCATCCAAGAATGAATCTCGACCATCCATTTGGTGAATTTCAAGATTTAGGCCTTAACAAATTCAAAATCACAATTTTCTTTTTTAGCATTATTAATCTACTGATGATCTATATAAAAATTATGGGAATAAAAAATTCCTTCCGAGGCCTATATCTAACCGTCTCAATAAAATGGACGGCTTATATTAATTGGGCTAGAATGAAAGCTTTCTAGAGAATTTTTTCTGAATTTTCTTTTTTGTAATTGTTCTTCATAATGAAAAGAGTGTACTTTTAAAAATTCGTGTCAAACAAATATCTTTAACATGATTTTTGAAGATGGTTGCATTATACTACTATACAACCGTTGCATGAAATCATTCCCCTATATATATATATATATATGGGAAAAGTTTATATAAAGTTGAGGTTCTAAACAATCAAATTAGAGCCTACCTAAAAACTCACTAGAAGAGGTTGTTTTAATACCCAAATATCCTCAAATTGATCATCACGACTTAAGATGCATGGACATGGGAAAAAAATAGATTTCAAGTTTTGGGAATAGTGTATTTTGTAACGCATTTTTGGATCGTCAATTTTCAAGATTTTCAACTTTTCATAGATCTATCAATCTACACAATTTTCGATGCTTTGAACTTTATAAATAAAGATGAAAATATATTTTGAAGCTATAAAAAATATTTGCAGTATTGAAACCATGTTTATCGACACTATTGAAGGTAGGCTCTAATTTGACTGTTTAGAGCCTAGGATCTATACAAACAGCACCTTATATATATATAGGGAAAAGATCCAATTAGTCAACTAGCTGACAGCTACAGTGTAAGTCCAATGGCTCAGATTGAATCTAGGCCGATCCAATGGTCACATTTGTATTTCACATTTTAATTTTAATTTTTTTCTACGAATCCAAATCACATAAAATTTGGAGCATCTATTATTCAAACAATGGAGAATATAATAAAAATATCAAAAAAATAATTCGTAAAAAATAAATTGACCAAAATACCCCTAAAAGTTTTAGGGGTC